GGCAAAATGCACCGCTGTCCTAATTTCATTGTTTGCCTATAACGGCCAAACTATTTGAATTTTTTTAATGCAACTTACAAAACTTACTCTTAAATGTGAAATCTTATGTGTGTGTGAATTTCACCGACATCGGATCATAATTGGCTAAGATATCAAACAATTAAATAATTTTTTTTTTCCTTAAAAAAAAATTTTTTTTTCGAAAGTTTGAAGTGGCACAAAAATGCCAAAAATGCACCCAATGGCTCAAAACTTTTTTTTTGAGTACTCTATTGTGTCTAGAATATGATTACATTACGGAAAATTCTGCAAATATATTTTATCTAATTTTTTGACCACTGTTCATTGAGTGACGACCAAAAAACACGGTTTTTGAGAAAAGTTGCCTAAAATTGACAATTTTTAGTTTTTTTGTCTAAAAATTAAACAAACCCAAATTTCATGTCTTCTAAATGTGTATACAAAGTTTAAAGTGTGTATGTTTCTTCTAAGTTGTAGAATTTTCCCGACGAAAGTCCCATTACACGCGCTCAGCGGGATCCAAAACTCGTGTATACACTACATTACTGTAATTTGATTTTTTTGCGTTTTCCAGTTTTAAATTTCTTACATATCTAAACTTATTAGGCTTAAAATTTATTAAATTGTATTTTACTGACTTGTTATAAGACGTTTCTTGAGTTTTGTGCAAAATATAGAATTGCCAGATATTAGCGAACAAAAAGCAAGCTTATCACCAAGTTGGAACTTACACTCAGGCTTAGGATTAATTTCCTAACATTTTTAAAGTATACCTATTTGTGTATTTTTTTGTGCTCTTTTCGATGGCGAAGTTAGTTTTTTCAAATATATTTTTTTTGTTAGATGTTTTCGAAAAACCGGAAAAAATCATATGGGAAAAAAATTAAAAAAAAAAACTACGCCTCTGGTTTTCTGCGAATTCCCGAAAAATTATGTCAGATTTCGCCGCGGGATTTATTTTATTTGAGAGCCAACAAAAAAATACGCAACTTCTCTCATGGGCACATATGTCTAACATTTATAAGTTCGCCACAAATTCATCGCAAATGTCATGTCCATGGTTCTGATCAAAAAAACGAAAAAACGACTTTTTGGTAAAAGCACTTCTGGCGGCGAGAAATTCGCCATTAAAACTACCTGTGCAATGAATTTCCGAGCTATTTTTGCCTCCTCTTTCGAATGGTGCATTTATTTTCACTATCGGAATAATACTTGCCCAGATAATTAGCATTTTTACAATGGAAAATTCTGGAAAACCCGGTTTTTCCTAATTTAAAAAAAAAAATAAAAACTGCTACATCTTTTTTTTCTTTTTTTCGGAAAGATCACATCAACATACACAAAGTCCTTTTTGTTTCATCCAATTACAAATTAATGTAAGCTCAAAGGGGCGTTTTTTCGTTATTTAATTGGACTATACCCACATACTTTGATTACTATACGGGGCAAGAGAGAGGTCCGACACGCCCAACATAGGGCGCGGCCATTTTGATCCCTATGACACAGTTTATAGCTAAAAAATCAGATCGCTCACTCTGCGTCGGCACTTTTATTCTCAATGTTCCAGTTTATACACTGCGCAACTCGGATAATACAATATATGACAACCGCCTATAATAAAACAGCAGTCTTCTGCGTATCCTGGATTTGTATCCCTGGAGTGGATGTTATTTTGGAACTTTCAACTGGTCCGAGTGAGCTAACTGATTCTTTAGCAATAAACTGTGACTCCAAAAATAATATTTACTGACACTGACAGCAGCAAGCAAAATATCAGGTGAGTTTTAATCATCCGCTTCTGCTTCCGGAATTGTCGGTTTAACTGTTTTAACCTGTCAGATTAAAACAAGAAAACCGACAATTCCGAAGCAGAAGCGGATGATTAAAACGCACCTATTAAAAATATTGCGCCAAGATGTAGGCAACACGTAATAAGGGTTCAAAATGGCGGAGTTTTCTATCTCCTTTTAAAAGGCACTTAGAAAGCTGCGCAGTGCGACCATTTTCCGTATAGTAAAAGAAAATCAAAGTATGTGACCTTACCACATACCCGACATGGTTAGAAGTAGTAGTTATATGCTTTGATAACTTATGACGTCATAGAAGAAATCAAACTGTATAAATAAATGTTCTAGTCACTATAGTATGATCTAGTATGTTATGAAGGTAAGCTTATAAAGAAATACCTTAAATTTACTATTACGATAAATAGGTGTACGTTTAATTTAAAAAATCGAGACAAAATTCAGCCCATTCCAGATAATAATACAAAAATTATATCAACATAAGTAAACCTTTAAAAAATTAAAGTAATTTGTAAATCACCTGTACGCACTTATAAATAGTGCAACAACTTTTAAATTGCACAGATTTCACTCAGAATATAATAGATTATCAAAAAACCAACTAAAATACTTTTTTTGTAAAATACATCTGGTTACGAAAAACCGTTAGGATTTTCCTTTAAGCTGTTCTATACGTAGTTCTATGTGTGTATACTACATATTGTTCCTGAAGATAACATAGGGTATTACCATTAATAAAATTCTGATAATTTTGGCCGACATGTTTATTTATGGTAAAAATGTATATTTGGATTAATGTTAAGAGATGTAACTTGAAATAACGAGTGCACTAGCGTGTTCATTAATATTAGGTTTTTTTTATTTTGTGTCATCAGCATCAACTGCTATATTTGTTACAATCGTGTTATATATAGGCATTTTACTATTTCCCATCGCCACTTTAAGAACAGAACTGGTAATTAGAACCAAAAAGTAGATGGTGCAGTGGAGAATCCTACTTATGCATAATAATTAACTTTAAATTCATTAAATTAATTAAATATCCCTGCTACCGGCGGGATTCGAACCCGGGACCCTTGAATCTGAGAGTCAGGCATGACTCTGAGCCACTGTCCCTATATATTATTAGGTAATGTTATTATTTTTGTTGTTAATACGAGAAGGTATTTTTTTTTGTTATTATTATTATTATAGGATTATTTTTAGTTTAGATGAATTGTAAATAAAACATATAAATTGGGCTACGCCTCTTTGTTTCAAGTAAATATTCAAAAAGTTTCCGCCAGTTAAAAACCATTTATTTTTCGAAAAAGTACTATGTTCCAAAAAATTATAAAATCGATGAGTTATACCAATATTTCGGATTTATAGAAAAGTTTGGGGATAAAAACCTTCATGAAAATTGCAACGGATTGCTCTATTTTCGTAATTTTTCTTGCAAAGTTGATATTACTTACCACATGGCTATTTTCATGATAAATTGGTCAACAGTTTGTGAGTTATTGCAAAATATCAATTTTCAATTTGTAACTTTTGTAAATAGGTTACCTATTTTGGGCTCTGGTATTTATGACCAACATTATTGTTTCACCCTGTATAATTTTCGTCCAGCTATACGAGCAACTACAGTCACTCTAACTGAAACATCTTATCGTAATCCTTGTATTGATTGCAATTCCCGAATTCCTTAAAGTAGTTTGTGAAAGAGCCCGGTAATGGATTCCAACATTTCCCTCTACGTATTTTGCTTATTTCTTGTACACTCACTCCTGTATGCAGTGGAACCGCTTCATCCAGATTGTCGTCGGCCGAATTAATTTGAATACTACAAAATCTCTAGTCGATGTAAACTTTGTGAGATAGGTTTTAATCTGGATTCGATAGGGAATGAGTGCTCATGACAATTTTATAATTGGTCGGACTGGCATTTACAGGAAAAGTTAAACAGCAGGATGTTTTCCTCCAATATTATGTCATGATTATCAACAAACGAACATTAGGGTGGAGCGAAAAAAATAATATTATTTTTTACTATATAATACCTAAGAAAAGTTGTCTCTACATATATTAAGGTATTTTCTGAAATTCCAATTTAAAAAAAAATGTCTTCAGGGCTCTACCTCCAATCAACGATTTAAAAAAACAAAAAATTTATTAACTATTAATACAAACTGAAAGTTGCCTTTACTAATAGTGAACTATTTCCTAAAATTTTAGTCAAAAATAAATGTTTTCAGATCTCTACCTATCATCATATTGTAACGGTTTGGCTCTACGGACGAGACAGTGCCAGGGTTTGCCACAACAGTACGAGACAACGAACCGTCAAGGTGACAGGAAACCCAACCTACAATCGGGCAGGCTGACAGAAACTTGGAGAAAGTGTGAGGAATGATCGAGAACGGTCATGGAAGCGGTTACCATGGATTATTGATGATATGACACTGTCAATGGGGAGTGGAAGATAGAAAGCCGGTCAGCGCGTGGCGGATCAACGTTTTCAATTGTAAATAGTAATAATTGTAAATAGTTTACGCGTTCGGATAGTTATTTTTGTATTTTAATTAAATAAATAGTTTCAACCCACACTCGTGTTACAATATTGAAAATAAAATACAAAAAATTCAAGTAAAAAACATAAACCAAATGCACCTATTTACAAGTGCCTGGCATTAAACTTTTACATTAATAAACAAATCCTGAAAATTCCAAATATTATGTCACGAAACTCTTCAAACTTGTTCAATCCAGTTAAGACCAGTTTACAATCGTTTATGCACGGTGAATTGTGTAGCTCTAAGCTGAACTCGGTCTTCTCTGATAGTCGCGGAAGTAAAATCTTTGTTTTAAGTTGTAATGAGTTTGTCAGTAAAGGTCACTAGGGGCAGTAGGGGACTACTAATTGTCCTATATTTGGTGCACCAGCGAATATACCCTCTAATGTTTTACCAACTGTGGAAAATATTATAAAGCGATATTTGCTTATTCGAAATGAACTCAAGCTTTTGAGCTCCGGTATGATAATGATAAATTAAAACTTGAGAAATATAAAGACGATTCAAAGAAATTATTCGATATTGCTGCATGTAAATGTGCTTCATTTGATACATGTGGATGTGTTAAAAAACGCAAAATACCAAATATAGAGCAAAAATTATTCACGATCAACGAACTATGAGAAAATTTATTATTGGAAAAATAGACGTTACTAAAACAAATAAGTTAAAAGCAAAAAAAAAGAGAAAAATTAAGATCAAGGCGTATGCAAATCAGCTTCCTTTTAAGTTTAAAGTAGGCAACGACAATACTAAAAACTTTGAGCGAGACAGTATTTCTTATTCATCTGAGTCTGAGATGTCAGTAGAGCTTGAGAATTTGATAGAAAAACAAGAAGCTAAGTCGGAGTTTCCATCAACATCAGGTTGCAGTAAAAGCCAGCAAATAAGATTGCCTGTTCCCAACCTAGCTCGTATTTCTGACCAATTTGGCATTTCGGACCGTTCTGCAGCAGCGCTTGCATCTGCTGTGTTACAGGATTTGGGACTTATTTCGAAAGAAACATCGTTTTTAGTTATTGATCGAAGTAAAGTCCGAAGAGCTCGTCAGAAACACCGTTTTAATTCCAAACATCCACTCCGGAGATTGGAGCATTGTACTTCGATGGAAGAAAGGATAAATCGATGTGCCAGGAAGAAATTAGAAACAAATTTCATCGCAAAATAAAAATAGAAGAAAATATATCATTGCTCGAAGAACCAGGTTCAAAATATATGGGTCACATTACACCAACAACAGGTACGGGGAAACATATTGCCATATCTATAGTTAAATTTTCTACAAGAATTTGAAATCAAGAATGGAGTTTTGCGGCATTTAAAAACAAAACTGAAATGTCCACTGCAGTGGATGATATGTCAGCTACATATGAATGAACTGCCTCTTCGTCATATTTTTCAATATCTTGACGGAGAAACTTCAGGACCTCTTGTATACTCTGAAGCTATAAAAAAAATTGCCTGTTTTAAATTTTGTTTCTATTGTTAGCCCTTTACCAGAATTAGACCCGAGAATACCGATCGGTATTCTCGGATTAGACGCTGCAGGTATTAGGAATCTTAGCACTGTAGTCTGATCAAATGGTGTTCAAAAGTGCCTGTTTCGTAACATGAGTGCGGTAGAAGGTTTCTTAACGGAATTACATGTTTTTTGGGGTGCTGAACAGGAATCTGAAGATTGCTGCCTCGTAGCAGTGCCGCTTCAGGTAAAAAAAAAAACGCAAAAGTCCTCTAAATTTTCGGAGTTTTTCTGGTTTCCCGCTAATATAACAGAAACGATGCATCGTACGGAAAATGTCATTCCATCCAAAGTTGAAGAGCGTACAATTCTGCGTCGAAAAACCTCACTAACTTTCAAATTGGTCGCCATCGTCAGTCGAAAAAAAGCTAATTTTTGTGAAAACTGAAAGAAACTCACTTTTAGGCGTATGTGATGTGAAAACAGCCACTATACGTGAAAAACTCGTAGAACAAAAGTTGTAAAGCATCAAATTGTGCGTTCAGTGAGAATCGAAATTTTAAATTTGGATCATTTCTTTATTGTCCCATCACTGTTACTGTTACACTTTACAGTAAATTTAAAGACATTTCGAGAATTAACGGATGGAATAGTTTCATGGAGAAGGTGGCCAGAGACATACGATATGAAACAACTTTCATTGACTGCCAGCCTTTCATCAATGCACCTCCAAGCGATTACTATACTATCTATACATCACTGTTAACTGCTGTCCAGAATACACAATCCTGTTGTCCTGGCCAGCAAACAACGTTTGTTACGTTCGATCAGCCCCAATACATCATGGAGATCCTGAGTTACGTGGCGTGGTCGTAAAGCTTGGAGGGTTTCACTTACTCATGTCGTTCATAGGGGCAGTGGGTTATATAATGAAAGGCAGTGGCCTAACTAAACTGTTCAATACTGTGTATGCAGTTAACAGCAATAAGAAGATTATGACAGGACACGCTTACGCCAGGGCTGTCAGAGGACACACTTTGACTGTTACAGCCATGGGTAAGGTGATAATGGATTCCATCATTTTCTCTCCCCCGTCTCACTTTGAGGTTGAACAGGTTTTGTATAGTGGAGATTTAAGTGAGCTGCTCAATAAACATGAAGAAGGATGGAGGAAGAAAATGGAGCAATTGTTCAAAGCCCAGCTCAAACATCTTGCCAATCTGGGGCCCACTGCAAAGTTGTGGGTACTTATTACTTTTTATTACATCAACATAATCCTCAAGTCAGACTTGCAATAAAAGGGAGGGAAGGAATTTAGGGTTGGGAAAGGAGTTTGAGAGAGAGGGGGAGTTGGTACTTCAATTTAGGGTTGAAAGAAGACGTTTGAGAGGTAAGGGGTTCATATTGAGAGCGCATAGTTGTTATTTTTGAACCCCTGCATATTGGTCAAATAAGCGTTTCGAAAAAAAAAATGAAGAAATGATTAGTACATGCGTATATACTGATACAAATTTAAAATTTCGATGCTCACTGAACGCAAAATTTGATGCTTTACAACTTTTGTTATACGAGTTTTTCACGTAAAGTGGCTGTTTTTACATCACAGATCTCTAAAAGTGAGTTTCTTGCAGTTTTCACAAAAGTTGCTAAAAATTCGACTGACGATCGGTCCAATTTGAAATTTTTCGACGCAATATTTAACTTTTTTTAACTTGTATCGTTTTCATGATATGAACGAAAAACCAGAAAAACTCCGAAAATTTCAAGGTTTTTGCGTTTTTCGACCTGAAGCAGCAAACTTCAGATTCATGTTCACCACCCCAAAAAACATATAATTAATTCTTTTGAGAAACTTTTTACCGCTTTTATGTTTCTAAAAAACTACCATTTGATCAGGCTACTGATCAAAAGTACTTATATGAAATGTGTCACTCAATTTCTAGAGAAAACTGTTCATTAGATCTAGCAGCTCGTAATCCTGGTAATTTATCACACGCACGATGGCTTATAAAGGCAAACCGCATATTGCGTCTTTAATTTAATTTAAGAACAATCGCTGAAGAATTTATGGTAAAAGTTTATGGGCCAGTGTGGATTGACATTAAAAGAAAATCATCGCGTTGTGATGGAGAAAGACACGTCTTCAGAATGAAACAGTTGTCACGCTACTTGAATAACGAATTGAAGGCAGTAATCGATCCTGTTATCAAACGAAATGCGTATTTTTGTCATCCGGAGAACCTTCTTCTAGCAATGCTTTCTGATGATCGTCCTGCTATAAGACAACTTAGCTTACGAAGAATATTCAAGGCGTGCACAAAAATATTTACAGACGTAAGGGAATTTGATATTCCTGAATTAGATTTCGATGCCAGTAAATATTATGAGCTTATTGATTGACAAAATTGGTCAGTTTACAACACCACCTCTTTTAAGTACTGCAACTGATGGAGATATCAGAGAATTTATAAACGATACAGGAACTTTTCCTGTAGATTTTTTGTCCTTTCCCTGCCATATACAGGCAGTCGAGAGGTGCGTGAAGGTTGTAACAGGAGCTTACAATTCTGTTGTCGGCCATGACTCTAGAAATGAATTTACTCGTGCAAGGATTCATTCTAGAACCATACTATCTGACTGTATTACTATTACTTTTTTATAGTATTTTAAATTTTATTTACCTTTCGACCTACTAAATCTGGTATAAGTAAATTCAGAAAAATATCTACTCGAAAAAATATATAAATAGAGGGTGACCCATTTTAAACGTTAACCGATGACGTCTTATCTTGAAACATATGATATAAACGGAGAATCTGCAAACACCGCTAAATAGTGCATAAAATATTCAAAAACCTTTATTAATGTCAAATTTTCGTACCAGTCATAATTAAGCCATAAATCAAGCGTTCCGCTCATTTTGCCCAACCCTGTATGTACTATTCTTTAATCATAGTTGTTTCATCTCCAATCTTTTTAATTCATTTTGTTGGGTGTTTCTCATTTGCAAAAAAATCCTACTTACCAATTTTGCAGAAATGATGTTAGCAAAATGACATACCTGGAATAGAAAAAAAAAGTATTATTCTTGATCTTAAACTATATAGTAGTTTGTGCAACTAATACGATTCAGCACTCTGGATACAAACAATCAACTCGAGTTGTGTATTATAGTTTTTCTACGACCAACAAACCAAAATCTATAAAATTTTTTTTTTTTAGGTTATTGAGATAAAATAAGTAATATAAGAATAGTTTACGACTTTTACTAATTTATAAAATAAAAAAAATGATTTAATTAGTCTTTAATCCTTGATTTGAACCCAGACCTTAAAATGCTAATGAATTAAAAAATAGAGGCTTTGCGGAGCCACAGGCCTCCGCGGAGAACACTTTGAAAAACGCTGCTCCAGAGTATGAGGCAGCTACGCAAGCTTCTGGTAGGTACAGTAACGTGAGGACTGGAAAAGAGGAAGAAGAGGAAGATAAACTCGCTAAAAAGATGAAGATAAAGACAAGGACCATCAGGTGCTGGAATTGCGGTGAACTGGGACTTGTACGAAGTTCGTGCAAACGCCCTAGGGTACTAACAACTGAGGACAACATGCCGCAGGAAAACTAAAGCGGGTCGGCCTAGAGGGGGCAGCTTCAACCCGAACTCATACTGATAGCTTCTTTGAAATGTCGCGATGATAGTGTATACGTAGACGGCGAAGTAAATGGTAAAATGTATACACTGTTGGTGGATACTGCAGCAACTAGGACCACTATACGACCAACAGCCATAAATAACCGTAAGAGATTTCTACCAACAAAATTGCTACTGCCGACTGCCACAGATGAAAGTCCCAACATGCATGGGAAATCCAGGTTCAATTGGGAATACAAAAAAGTTCACTCATACTGTTATTGTCGCTGATATCGAAGATGTTATACTTTGAATGGATGTAATGAACTTAAATAGTTTCCAGTTAGACTTTAAGAACAAAGTTGGTGCCGAAGAGGTATTTATGTATCCATATGAGGACAGTACCGTGCTAGTAGTTGTACAGGAAGACACGGTGGTACCTGGTAGAAGTGGCACAGCTTCAAGAAACTATGGAATAAAGAACACCTGTCAAGATGGAAACTTGATTCCACGATAAAGAGGTTAAACAAGGAATTCTAACCGAAAAGGGGTTGCCACGAATGCTAAAGAAATTTCAGTCCATCTCATAAATGTTAATGATCACCCAATTACCATCAAGAAAGAGACCAGAATCGCAACCTGTGTACCAGTAACTTCTATAATTCGTCAGAAAACAACTTCTGATAATTTTAACGACAAATTCTAGCAAATTATTGCAGTTGCTGGTTAATTTCTGAATCATTTAGAGAAAACAAAAATAAAGGAATTTCTTGGCAATATAGTGACATTTTTGTACTAAAAGGAGGAAAAACAAAAAACTTCTGTTGTGAAACATAAAATTGACACTGGTGAAGCCAGGCCGATTCGTCAATCAGCTCGAAGGCCAAAGGCCAAAAGAAAGGAAGCTGAAAGAATTGTTCGGGAAATGGAGAAAGGCAGGATGATAGAACCTTCTACCAGCCTATGGGTCTCTCTAGTAGTCCTGGTTCAGAAAAAGGATATAACTGCGATGTTCTGTATGGATTACCGTCAGTTGAACAATTTTACCAAGAAAGACAATGATTCTCTACCTCGAATCGATGATACCTTGAACACATTGGCCGGAAGTAAACTATTCTCTACTTAAGACTTGAAGTCTGGATATTGGCTGGTGAAAACGGAACCAGTAGATAAAGAAAAGACAGCTTTTACTACCGTATCTGGATTGTGTCAATTCAATGTTATGCCATTTGGACTATGTAAATGCTCCCGCTACATTTGAAAAGACTTAAGGAGATATGGATCCAAACACAAGCTGGTATTTGTACTTTTGAGATATTAGTTCCGGTAGTAGCTTAACTAGTTCTGTTACTCCAGACTAAAGGCTAATGGTCTCACTATTGCTGTACACATCCATCGCAGTGTGTTCGGGTAACATCCCCATCTTTTACTCGCTATGTTTCTGCATATCATTAGGGCATTTGTGGTATTATTTACTACTTCCTTCTCATGTATGTTCCACAGAAGTTTGTTGTCCCAGGCCTAGATATTTGACTTATATATAAGATTGAGTTTTCTTTTTCTTGTAATGGCTAGTAGTATTCGTGGGGTTTATACTAATGCTGAGTTCGCGATGTGAACATTACTGAATTACAATGATTTAGCATGGACTAAAGTTAGTTATGGAGTAAAAAGAGTACGGCGTAAGTTTCACCTCGCCGCAATATCCTTTGGTGTGTTCTAGTCCTCTTTGGACTATATCACACAGGGTATTTTCAAACTTTCCTCTAACAAATATGATACGACGTCGTCGGCGTAACCTTGAAAGGGTATGCCGAGGTCAGTCAATATGCATAGAAGTTTGTTTACGGTTAGGCTACACAATAGTGGGGATAGAACTCCTCATTGAGGACATCCCCTTATTGTACAGATGAAGATGTTCTATCTGTTGTCTCTGCAGTTCTCTTAGATAGCAGCTGAGCCATCCATCTGGATATAATCTACTCTTCTATGTATTAAATGTTTGATAATTAATTAGAAATAAAATGTATTTCAATTATATTAAAATTGTAAGAAATTTGGTAAAAGTAAGTCATCCGTTACAACAACTTTTATTCTTCAAACTATACATTTGTCTAATAAATATAGGAGTATTATACTCCAATCTTTTAGTACAAACCAAACATGAATCACAAAATGGATAAATATTTTATCGATACGGAAATCACAAAACAGGGAAACAAATATACTCCTATTTGCACGATTCTATAGTGTTCCAGTTCAAATACAAACGCCAATCTACGAAGAAATATATTTCAGGGCTCTTAAGTTTGATTAAAGTTGCCCTAATGCAATACCAATTCATATACGAGGCATGTGAAAGGAATTTAGAGAAAATTTGGAATTTACTCATTGTTATTTGAAGTAAATATAAATTATTAACAATATCGATTTTTCTGAAAACTTCATATTGTAGTTAAATAATCACATACACCAATGAAATTCCGTAATTCCTTGAAGGTGTTAAATCTGGAATTACAAATGTTGACCTAAATACGTAATGAACCTTAATAGGAATATAGCGTGCCTCTAAAGTCTAATGGCATAATTTAATTCATGTGAAAATTATTTTTATGTTCTTTTTTTGAATTATACTATGCGGGTAGTTTAATTCTGTTTTATTGGATGATCTAATTAAATTAGGTAGTATTAATTAGAAAGCATTTAAGAATGCTATAAATTTTTCCCGCATAATTTTTACATACTTTACGTTTTGGGCAGTGAAGGAGACTTTGGGGTTGATACGTTTTAATAAATTTGTAGGATGGATGAAATAGAAATAAATAAAATTTCCAAAATTATATCTTTGACATAGGAAAATACAAAATTATTGAACGCAATGTTATAACTCAAATCTTATAGTAGAATTGCAATCGACACGGAGTAATAAATCAAAATGTTATGGGAGGTTTACAGCACAGGTGGCTCAAACAAAATCTGTGAATTTAAAGAGCCGGCAGTTAAAAGGTTTGACTTCATTAGGAATTTTGCATGTGCCGCCCGGTTTTGTGAAACATAAACAATACGCTTCTAACGGTTGGGTAAATTAGGGGGTATTACGGGGTATTTGTAGATATTATTATATTTTTTGTTACTATTTTAAACTTAAATAATTGTAATTTAACCGCCGGGGTGCTATGATTATAACATTTAGATATAAAATAGATATACTACCTACTCTCGAAGATCAGGAAACGTGAAAGTCTCTGAATCACTATATTCACTTGATGAGTCATTATTTACTGATAATATTAAAGGTGGCACTGTAGTATCGACATCCAAGATTTTGTCCAGATTCCACATGTTTTCTTCTATGGAGGTTTCTAACAATGCTTCTACATTTTTTAACTTAAATGTCGTATTATGTCAACCTACATATCCTTTAACTTGTGCCCATATCAGTTCAATAGGATTTAGTTTGCAGTGATAGAGGGAGGAAGACGTACAACATTAATACTATGTGTTTTTGCAAGTTCATCCACTACATAACGTACTGGAGGCTTATTTAATTTTACAATTTCTAGTAGTTTTATTTTTATTTATTTTTCTGGAAAGTTAATGTTTCTGTCTGTTAGCCACTTAATGATATCTTCCATGAAGTATTTGGTAAACGTTCAAATAGATGGGAATGGTAACTGGCGTTATCCATTACTATAACTGAACCCTTTGGTAAATGTTTTATCATCTGCTGAAAATATTCTTCAAAAACATTAGTGTTCATATCTTTATACTA